TTTGTGACCCAATCACCCTAGTTACACACCAGTATTACATCTGTAATACCTCAATCATACAACCCTTGTTCCTATCTGCATTTACTAATTTTCCCTCAGGTTTCCTATTGGTTGTTGTAGATCCCATCCCTAATTGGCTGAGATCAGAATGTCACCTATCACATGCTGGTGTTACAGTATCTTGTACAGCATTATTATCATTACTACAGTAAAAAATTCACGTTTGTTGTTGTTCTGGTGAAGCTGACATTCAGAGAGTAGATGAGTTATATAAACATTGAAGCTTTTAGCAATACTTTTAACACTTGATTTTTTTTTTTTTTTTTGTAGCTTAAACTACTAACAAATTTTATTTTACGCGCTTATTTTTTAGCAACATGCCGTGCCAATTATTAATAGTAACATAAAGAAATAAAAAAAGAAAAAATAAAATAAATAAATAAAATATACTTTATAACAAAACTACAAAAGTTATATATTCAATAAAATGATTGTAATATTGAACGTTTTAGATGATACTTATCATAGAATTTTTTTTTTCTTGCAGAAAAAATTGATATAATCTATTTGAATGGTCTTTTAAGATAATTTGTAATAAAAAAAAAAAAATTAGATTCATCTAATTTTTAGTATAGCTAAAAAAAAACGTGTTCACAAATTAATATTAGTGCTTTCGTTAATCAAAATCTATTCTGTCACTTAAATTTAGAATTTGGATTCGCATTCAAAGTATTTAGCTTATTATCACCAGTAATTTTCGGTACAATATCAGTCCTTGTGATTCTTATTCTTTCCATCTGAACTGCTTGTCGAAGAATTAGTCGTAAGCTATGAATATCATATATATCTTTGTTTTTCTATTCTTCAGTGATTGCTACTAATTCTTCTTGTAGTTTTGTAAACTCATAATTTGTTTCAGAATTATTTTGCATATATGAAGGATCAGATGAACTGAGAATTTCGGGCTCTATGGGTTGTTGGAGTTGGGTGAGTTGATTATTTTCCTCTACATTATTCTCATTGTCTTCGCTAACTTGAAGGCGGCTTAATATAGCAAATATGTGCTTGCATGGCAATTGACGGACTCTAAAGTCATGACAAGTACAAATATATGATGCGATATTTAAGCTGTCTTCATAATTGTTTCTTCGTACAGAATATTCAACATCATTATTAGTCATAGAGCATACTATCCAGGTATCTGAGCTGATATTATAAATATCGTTTTGACCAATTTGTGTTGTTTCAGCAATCTCTCTAATTCTCTGTTGTTTTCTCTGTGGATTCATCCTTCCAATATTTAATTCATTCAATACAACTGAGAAATCCAAGTCACAAAGTACAATTTCTACTAGCAAATAAACTTCTGTGTCAAGTCGTCGTCCAGGTCTTCCTCTCATATATATGTGCTTTAATTTCTGATGAAATGCTTCAATTAAGTCATTTGTGTCAATCATATCTCTAGCAGCACCTCTTAAACAGACCATCCACTTTTCATATTTCAGTACCCACCAACGCACAAAGTAGTCAGCGAAGTTATTTACTGTAATTATTTTTAGCTTACGCCATCTATCAACTGTTTCTGTAACCTGCTGTAGTGCTTTTATATCATCCCACCCTTCCGTTTTCATCAATCGCCACAGGTCCTTTCAGATAATTGTTTTAGGCTGATTGTTATCCTTACCTTGGTGATAATTTAATATTCTTCTCCAAGATCTTAGCACATGAAAATGACAGAGTAATACTGTGCTATTAGGAAGGCTTTCTTCAACTGCTTTGATTTCTTCCCCCGCATCATCTACCATAAAGATATCTGGATCCCATTCTTCATGCTTGGACTTTAGATAATTAAGCCAACTTTTTAATGTAATTGATCGTTTATACTTACTAATAAGGAATGCGATTGGGTATCCACCTCCTGATGTTGGATGTCGTATTATGAGTGTAAAGAGATGATATCCATGCTGATTTAGCCCATGCGTACCATCGAGATATACTACCCTCGCGAATTTCATTAGCTCTTTTTGCTTTTCTGTTTGAAAAGCAAATATGAATCCTTTGTTTTCATTTCCATCACCATCATTTTCGAACAAACAGTAACCACCTGCACATGCTAACTTTTCTTGCCACATTTTTAAAGAATTTGACTCATTTTCGTCAAGGTAAGCACATGCCTTCATTGTATCACGTACAATAGCATAGATATCATCTCTTGTTACAAACCTGTCTCTCAACACCTGAACATTTTTACTTATATCACTATTTTCTATTTCCGATTGTCGCACGCTATCTAGAAGCTCGATTCCTCGGTGTCGCAAAAGCTGCTGTATGCTATAAGCATCAAGTCCTTCTAATGCACATTGTTTGATAAATTGTCGGATGTTATCTGACAAAGGAAGAGTGCATAAATCAGATAATTGACCAGGTTGGTGATTATTATGCTTATAATAATATTTCAGGGTTACAGTATTCGAATCAATTGGAAGTACAACTTGAATATAGCTTTTACATCTACACTTTTTCGACTCTTTTTGTGTAAGCCGTGGTTTTTTGGCAGGATCCTTTCCAGCAGCACTAGTATACGTTCCGTGATGATGACAATACCACTGCTCTGTCCATACATTTTTTTTTCTTGTACTACCAGCACCCAATACTTTACGTTCATGTCGAAGATAACTGAGCCCAGCTTTTTCTAGGTTGGTTATCCATTCTTGATACGTATTTACAGATAAATAAAATGTTTTGGATCTTTCAATGCTTTGCGAGTTCTGTGGTGTTTCATCATCATTCTTCATTTCCCATGTTTCTCCAATGCCATCTGTCGCATTCATAATCATATTAAGGGCATCATCGATTTCATGGTCACTAATATCCATATCTGAATCTTCATCGATATCAAAAATTGTGTTGATGTCAACTGTCATTGATTTATCAGAACCAATTTCATTCAACATGCTTAGTCTTTTTAGTTGCATGAAAGTTTCTTTATTTCAAATCCCTTTTATGAGTTCTTTTATACAATTCAAAAAAACTAATTCGTCTATTTTGGTCTTAGCTTTTTTTTTTAGCATAAAACAATATTTGTTTCTTTGGGGCTATTGATGCTATCTGCAGATTTGTTTTACTTCCATTTTTCTATTTTATTATTGTTGCTTTATTCACTTACCTTTTTTTTATATTTATGCACAATCCTCGAGAAACTACTACTGCATACGTCTGTATTTGAAACCGAATTGTCATATCTTAATTTTTCATAAGATTTTGTTTCTGGTCATATTCGTGAGGTGCAATTATGCATGTCCACTTTGGTGAAATTGATCAATTCAGGATTTATGCAATGCTTTTCTATTTATTATAATCGCCTTATTTACTTTTACCTTTATTATTATCACCCTATTCACTTTTACTTTTCTCTTTACATTTATACACAATAATTAGGAACCATTACTGCAATACACTACCACTGAAACTACATTAATATTATCACGATTCTCAAATTTATTATTATATGCATTTATGGTAAGTTTTAAAGCGCATTTACTCATGTTTTACATCCATGGATGATCAATTTGATCCTTTTTAGGATTTCAGTATTTTTCCCATTTTTGTTAGTTTTTTTTTTTATGATATGTCATTATTACTATAATATGCAATCTCTAAAACTGCATCAAGTCTTTTCAATCTAAATTTCGTAATATGCACTTAGTTTTATATTTATGATAAACTAATGCAGGTTTCACTTCTATGGAATTAATCTTAATTTCTGACATCAATCACGTTTATATATTTTTGATTCGGTTATTCTCTAAGGCTTATGACATTGTATGTAAATTTTACTTTCATATTTTTTTTTCACTGTTGTTTCTTTATTCACTCATTTTTTATTTACATTATGAATTTTTATGTGATCATTATTGCAACATACCATTCTTGAAACCATGTCGAGAATTGACTTTTCCAAATTTGGGTATAAAACTTATCGTTTATGCATGTTTCACTTCTATAGGTTAATTTTTAATCTTTTTTTTTTTTTTGAATTATGGCTCGGTGCACATTTCGAATTTTACATTTTTAAGCAATTAAAGTAATTAAAATCTTATAGGGCGTTAGGAGGTTGTTAATGGGTTGGGTTGGGTTAAACAATTTTTCAACCCACTCCAGCTTGGGTTGGGCTCACTCTGGAGCTGCTCCGGTTTCACTCCAGATTTTTAGGCATATCTTTAACCCACTCTAGCTTGGATTGGGCTCACTCTGGAGCAGCTCCAGAGTATGTCACTCTATTAACAACCTTATGGGGCGTATAGAAAATTAATAACCATAACTTGAAATGTACTCATATGTACAAGATAATGAAATATATAGCACTTGTGATTTAACATGGCTTTGCAAGATAATAAATATTTCGTACAGGATAAATTAAAAGTTGTCAAATGTAGATGTTTATTTAATAAAGATTATTAATAATTATAAAATGCTGACTAAAATATTTTGATATTACAAAGACTAGAAAAATATTTGGGTATATTTATTTAGTTTGTGCTGTCTAGCTATTATCCGATACTATTCTTCGAGGTATGGTATGTAATATCTAGATATATGTCAAATTTTAGTTAGGAATTATTCGCAAAGTTTATTCGCTATAAAATAAATTTTCTATAATTTGTATGAAATTACATAATATAATCTTACGCGATATGTAAAATGTGTGCACAGTTTATTTGCGTGAAATATACTTTAATTTGAATAAGCTTATAAAGAACACAATAAATTTATAATGAATCTATTTTTACAAGTTTCTAGCATTAAAAATTGAATGAAAATTTTAATGATAAACATTAATATGGTAGCAGCCTGCTTGATCTCGACCAATCAGAGATGGGATCTACAACAACCAATAGGAAACCTGGAGGGAAATTAGTAAATGCGTTCCTATCTATCATCCTGTAAAATTACTATCCAATTATTAGAAATTTTTCTAAGTTTTTAATACAATATTTATTTAATTTATAACAAACTTCAAAAATGCCTATATTAACCAACCAAGATCCTGATACTGCAGACCTTGATTACTTCTACTAAAACTATCCTAACAGTTTTGGAATTGCTCTTTATAAAGAAGAAAATAGTAACAACACTTGTCCAATTTCTCCCAAAGTCAAACCAACTACTTGTTTAACTAAAAACCTCAGATCTAACAAAATTACTCATTTTTTTTAAGCTCCTACTTCTACTTCTGTGATTACTTGTCTTTGTGGCAAATACCACACCAAATTCATCTCACTACTAACACTAACCATATCCAAGCTACTGAATTCACTACAGTTCATGTTAACAGTAATGCAAAAAAGAATCTCAA